GGTCACCGTAACAGGAAGGCGAGGAGCGCGCAGCTGAAGGTGGAGCTTGAGGATGTCAGCAGCGGTGCTGCACTCAGCAGGGCTTCAAGCGCTAGTCTGGGATTTTCTTTCTCTTTTACTGGGTTCACTGCTCCGCCTGAGGATATCATTGCTGCTCTAAAGGGATTCAGTGATGAAGAGAATGGTAACAAGGAATACACTTGAGCTTTCAAAACTGACAATTTGATTTTTTTTTTTTTTAACTTCTAGTCAAATTGGTATAATTACAAATTTAATGTAATGATTATATACATGTGGATATAGACGTAGATACAGATCGTAACTATAATATCCTGAAACCATAGCTGTTTAATCCAAATTACCTTTGCATAAACTGAAACAAAATGACCAAATTTTGTATAAACTTAAATTTAAGTTGGGACGTTATCAGTAAACACGAAAACATTGTGGCTGACAAATTCTATTCAAATATCAGTATGTAATAAACCAGCATACCTTGCATTGCAGCAGCAGATCCTGAGGCAGGTCATGAGCAAAAGAGGATAATCACAGAACCAACCTTGCCAATTTATCTGAAGGTAATCAGTCTTCAGCTATATACAGTTATCAGTATAAAGGTCCTTGGATTTGCAGAATGACCCAAATTCTCTGAGAAAAAGAACTCCCTCACTGAGAAGGCTGGGTCTAAGGAAGTTTTCTGAGCTTGTGAACATCCACAGGCTTAGATAACCTGTACTTTAAATTTATATACTGAAAGGTATCTCTATAGCACCCTTTTTCCTCTCTTTTTTTTCGATTTTGCAGTTTACAGAGCTTAAATACAAGGTTATCCTCAAAGGCGTAACTTCAACGACTGAGAAAGATATACTTCACGGAATTACAGGTTCGGCTAGTCCTGGTGAGGTTCTGGCTCTTATGGGACCATCGGGTAGCGGTAAGACTAGTCTCCTTAGTCTTTTAGGAGGAAGAGTTCATGGTGGCCATATCAATGGATCCATCACCTACAACGATGAACCTTACACAAAATCTCTAAAACGAAGGTAAATGTGCAATCTTTTCGTAAATATAAAGAGTTTGTAACCTATTTTAGTTGCTGAATCTCTGTTTGATCCATCAACTTGTGACATTTTGGATCCTCATGCTGGAGGGAAGCATTTCAATTGGCTAGAATTTGTTACATGAACAAAAATAGATTTTGTCGAATCATATCGAATATTTGACAATATATTTTTTATCATTCTATGATGCAATTCAAGCTAAAATTGTGAAAGTAATCCTTCCTCAGGATAGGGTTCGTGACACAGGATGACGTTCTGTTTGCACACCTTACAGTGAGAGAGACACTAACATATGCAGCACGCCTTCGTCTCCCAAAGACGATGACAAGGCAACAAAAGGAACAGAGGGCTTTGGATGTTATCTATGAGCTTGGGCTTGAGAGGTAGGTTACTCAGTCTCCAACCCTTGTTAAGTAAATTGGTCACGTCAATGGATCTGATATATGCAGATATCGATCAACAGGTGTCAGGATACTATGATCGGAGGATCATATGTTCGAGGGGTTTCAGGAGGCGAGAGAAAGAGGGTTTGTATAGGGAATGAGATTATAATAAACCCTTCTTTGTTGTTTCTTGATGAACCAACATCGGGTTTGGATTCAACAACAGCACTGAAAATAGTCCAGGTGTTGCATGACATAGCAGAGGTAATGCATTGCTACAACTTTTACACCAAGTTTTAGTTAGTATTTTCTATCAAATTTGTCATAGAAAAATTGGGGATATGAGAATATTGTTTGTCTCGTCGCAGGCTGGGAAGACAGTAATAAGTACAATTCATCAACCATCCAGCAGACTCTTTCACAAATTTGATAAACTGATCCTGTTAGGGAAAGGAAGTTTGCTATTTTTTGGGAAGGCATCAGAAGCCATGGTTTATTTTTCATCCATTGGATGTTGTCCTCTGATTGCAATGAACCCGGCCGAATTCCTACTAGACCTTGCGAATGGAAATGTAAATGATGTTTCAATACCCACAGAATTACACGACAGAGTGCACACAGAGAATTTGAGTAGTGAGACGAGAAACAAGAAGCCATCTGCAAAAGATGTACATGAGGTAAAGATATTCTTTTTCTTGGGTGAAGGAATGAGTTTTCAAATATATATCTTATGAAAATTCAACCATTGAGATGTTCTATCAACTTGATAACCTATCAGATGTTTAGCAATCTGATTGGTATATGAATGAATTGACCAGTATCTGGTGGAAGCCTACGAGACTCGAGTTGCAGACAAAGAGAAGAAAAGGCTTCTAAGACCTATTCCCATAAGTGAAGACGTGAAGGCAAAGGTATCATTGACAAAGAGAGACTGGGGAGCAAGCTGGTGGGAGCAGTACACAATACTATTTTGCAGGGGGCTCAAAGAAAGGCGTCACGATTACCTGAGTTGGATGAGAATAACCCAAGTCATTGCAACTGCAATCATCCTTGGTTTACTATGGTGGCACTCAGATAGTACCACTCCTAAAGGTTTGCAAGACCAGGTAAGGAATAACTTACCTGTAGAACATGAACCTTCCTAACTTAATCTAGGCTGCTCTAATTATATACATATTTCAGGCAGGTTTGCTATTCTTTATAGCCGTGTTCTGGGGTTTCTTTCCTGTGTTCACGGCAATATTCACATTCCCTCAAGAGAGAGCAATGTTGAATAAAGAACGGGCAGTTGATATGTACAGATTAAGTGCATATTTCATGGCCAGGACAATGAGCGATTTGCCACTCGACCTCTTCCTGCCAGTAATCTTTATACTGATTGTATACTTCATGGCAGGCCTGAGAGAGAGTGCTGAACCCTTCTTTCTGAGCATGTTAACTGTGTTCCTTAGTATTGTTGCTGCTCAGGTGTGTACTATGATATTCAAATATGTGTGTGTGTATGTATGTGTGTCGTAGAAAGAAATTTATGATGCCTCATGAAAGTAACAATGGTTAAATACTGGCAGGGGCTTGGATTGGCCATTGGAGCTACTCTGATGGATGTCAAGAAAGCAACCACTCTAGCATCAGTGACAGTCATGACCTTTATGTTGGCTGGTGGGTTTTTTGTGAAGGTAAGAATTTAATTCTATCCTACATAAATTGAATTAAGATCAGTCATGTTTTTGTGATACCTGAAAATTTTACTCTATTCTTCGAAGTAGAATACATGCTCAGCTATTCTTGATATTATCTTTACCTATTGATACTCTGGTTTGGTAGTAAATTTCAACACCCCATTTAGGCAAACAATGGTGGACTCTTTGTCATAGTTGTAGACCCTTTATATATCTTGTAATAGTACCTTAAGTTACGTCTTACATACATAATCTTGCTAGGTTACGGAAACTAACACCTTAAATTATAATTCTGCAGAGAGTTCCTGTCTTCATATCATGGGTTCGTTATTTATCTTTCAACTACCACACTTACAGACTCCTGCTTAAGGTTCAGTACAATCATGTACCGCCCCTCCTACAAGTCAGTAATCTTGATTGTGGTGTTAAGGAAGTTGTTGCCATGATTGCCATGGTTTTTGGCTACCGTCTCTTGGCATACATTTTCTTGAGAAGGACGACGCTTCAAACTGCTTAGACAAAAGTTTGACAAATGCATATTAAGAGGCACCTGGAGAAGATTTTACTACTATCTCCACTCAAAAGCAGTCATAAAAGAAGAGAACTAACTGGGCTACAGGAGATGGATCTCACAGAGGGAGATAAATCCAAAGTTATTCCATCCAAGACTGAGAGCTTGTATGTTAGCACCACATGTCCAATACCATGTACATGAGATTTCGAGTTTTCAAATACATTTTCTTGGTATAAACCTTTCAGTTTAGCTCATTACTGGTGTTGCAGATTTCATCTCTCATGAGGTGCACAAAAATATCCATATCCAAGGAAATATCTATATCCATATCTGTTAGGATGTGGATATTGTTACTAAAATCTGTATTCGATAGGATATGGTTATGGATATGAATATATAGTGAAAAATCCAGATCCGTATCGGACATATCCAAATATATGTTGACCATAAGTTGTAACAGTTTTAATTCTTAGATTAACTGATTTGAGGATGATCAAGAGATTTAATCTTTGCTTTTTTTTGGATGTAAAGAACATGTTAATCCCTTGTATCATATGAACTATTGAACTGTATTTTCTTTTTCAATATTATCTAGTTTTCTTATATCCGTTTTGTATCCACGTGTATATCCGCTTATATATTTGCATGTATATCTGTATGCATATCCAATTTTAGTGGATAAAGATAAGAATTTGTCGAGGCACATCTGTATCCGTAACTGGCAAGAGGATATGGATATGGTATTATATCCAAGCCATATCCAAACCGTATGCACCCCTCGTCATGATAAACTTTCATCCCGGTTGAATGAGGAAAAACTTATGACAGTAGATTATATTTTGCAAGTAGGTGAGCGAAGTGAAAAGGATCTGAATACGAGACTTTGGCTATTATAAAAAATGCAATCCCTGTAATAACGAGATACCTACTTTCCTAAAAAAATTACAATACTGGATATAGTGAAAAGAAAAGGATTAATATGAAAGTTCTATAGAAAAGAACAACATTGACAATTTAATAGTCATCTAATAATAGCTACTTTACCACAAAAAGCGGAATTGTGTTTACAACATCATTTAAGGGGTGATCAAGAATACATATACATTTTAACAGAAAATTTAACAATTGCTTGCCCGAAATCTAAATGTGTAAATTTTCTTTGTATAAAATTGATTTTCTACTAAAATCCAATACAACAGTGTTTTATAAATTAAATTGCTGAATTTCTAGTTATACACAATGAGCAGTAATTTATAAATTAAACTGCTGAGGTTCTAGTTACACAGGATGATATCTAAATTCCGGTAGTTATAACTTATATCCCAAAACCACAAAAGTACCTCCTGCTTCAGGTATTATCATGCATATCAACGGCCTCAGTTATCCAAAGTTACCATCTTCAATGATCAGCCCATATCCGAAAGCATCAAACTGAATGTGCAGCTTTAGCCTGTGGAGTTAGCTTCATTAATTTACATTGTTAGCAAGAGCATGTTCTGAAGCCATTAAACTGGATGATAGTTGGAGAAGATACCAGTCACCCCTGGAACACTAAAAGTTCTCATGCCATTGTCCTAAACCACCCAAGCAACCGAAGAAGTGCAGCATCCAATACTGGGGATTTCTTTTCAAATCCTGAGATGAGAGGGAAAGTGGATATAATTAGTCAATAGAATTGATAATGTTTTATAAGGAAAATGGCGGGCTCAAAGTTCTTTCTGTTTTGAGAATTTAGCAAAATTTAACAAAATAAAACAGTGACGAAGAAACAAGAATAGATGAGATTATGTTCATTTTTTATTTATTTTTATTTTACTTTAGGTATTGCAACTTAGACTTAACGAAGGAAGTGTACTGCTGGCCACCAAGTGTGAAGAAAATTACCTCTTGACTGATCCTTCACATGATAATGACTATTATGCGGTGGCCAACTAGGACTAAGAAACGAAATGCACAAGGACCAAATATTTGGAATAAACCTGGTAGTCTTCTTTTATGAAATAAACTAGGAACCTTTGATATGTTTTACAATGGGAGAACCACTTTTTATTTCTTACATGGTAATAGCTTATGTTTCACACCATTTGGCCTTTAATAAATTTATCCAGAAATTTCCCACCTAGGTCTTCTGCAACTCTATGAGCCTTTTTATGATGGACCAAGTTTTTATTAGCTACATCATGATAGCCTATGTTTTTAACCATTTGGCCTTTCATCAACTTATCCATAATTTGCTTACCTAGGTCTGCTGCAACTCTATGTGCGCACATGATTCCAGAAAAGGCAACAGCTATAACTCCTTGACCAGGAAAACAGCTATCCCCAACACAGTAGAGACCATCTATAGCCTGCAAATCCAATACCAGAATTTATTAAATTCAGTTAAAAACTTAAATTTACCCATATAAAAGCACTCTTTCAACCAAGGTTGAACTTACTGTCGTATTGAAGGGCATGCCAAGTAAACCTTTTGGTATCTTCCTTGGCATTGGACCATAGGTACCATCATTTCTCGCAAGAAATCTCCTGTGAGTTTTCGGTGTACCCACCTGTCATATTTAATCATTCAATGCCATAAGAAACAGTGACCTCAAGCTCTTTACACTCATCATAATCTTCTTGGATACTGTAATTAAAAACATTTCATTTTTACATTAATTGAAAGCACTAATAAGAAATTTAAAAAATATCATTTGAAGTTGCATGATAAATGGACGGACACGAGTTCATATAATAAAAAGTGGAAGTATGCCAAGGGAGACCTACAAAAAATACTCTGCATGTTTACTGTCGAACATCAGGAAACCATAACCCGCCATCCTAACATAGCATATCATCTATCCCATGTCATGTCAACTTACTGACAAGATTTGAAAATTGAAATTAGAATTGTTTATTATCACTACCATAATCACACTTTTACAGCATATTACCTCTTTAAACACTACGGAACCCTTAAGTCCAGCAAATAGTTTATTTTCAAGCCTCCTTATAATTTCATCAGCCACGAGCTCCTTTTTTTCTTCATAGTCCTTTTGAGAGAGTCCCTAGCACAATGAAAGAAAGAGCTTTAGCAGCATTCAATTATAAACTAGCATTGTCATCACATATGCAGGTAACAAATATTCCTTGAGAAAACAGCCTATCAGAATATAGAATGTAAAAAGACTTTGAATTTGCTATTAAAAACCATTACCTTCCAGTCTTCTATGCTTGATGTTGTAAATATATGAAGAATATGATGTCCATCTGGAGCTAATGATGAATCAAGTACAGTTGGAATACTTAAAAAAATGCTTCCATAAGGCATCTCCAACCTACTCCAGTCATCCTGCATATACTTGCATTAGCTACACAAATGTGTGTAACGCCAATCTTTTTATGTAGCTGTGAACTCTTCAGTATTACACCTTGTCATTGTCAAAATCATAATACCTCGAGAATGAAATGATGACAATCTGTATCAGGAGGCAAAACTGATGCTTTGACTCCCATGTGTATGGAAAGGAATGATGGAGCCTTGATATAAATCCTTTGAAAATTTTTCTCCTCCTCTGGAAGTTCTTCAACTTTCACAAGCTTTCCTGCGGTATTGAGAAATGAAACTTGTTGAAGATTGTTGGAAGCTAAAGGAATTATGCATCAAATATAAGCATCACCACTAAAAATCAATTCTGCATAGAAATAGGTTGCTATCGTTAATCTGTTAAAACGATGAAAGCTAAAAATCATCAGCGCAATTAAAAGTTTTGCAGCGAATAACCCCAATCTCCTAGACTCCCAGATTCAGGCCCAACCCATCCACCAGCCAACCCAAAAATATCCGCATTAAACCGACAATGCTCTAGATTGAACAGAAGGGATATCTTCATAATCTCATATTAAATATGGAATTCGCAGGGAATCTTATAGAATTTTGGAATTTGATGCAGAACCTTTATAGTACAGGGGAAAATTCTATTTTGTACCATATAAAAATGAATAAATGTGGTTAGAGATGCTTGAAATAATAAATATTCAGATGTCAAATTATTCTCAAAACAACTCATGCTTTTTAGGTGATATTTCAATATTAGATATGCAATAACAGTCCTGCAATTGACTGGTGATTCTTTCTGTGTTCACCTACATACATCTTGTTCAACTACTCGTTCAAATTCTAGTCCATATCATTTTTTTCATGGCGAAAATCCTTTGCGTGAAAACGCATTTTGCATTAAAATATTTGATTTGAAGATCTCTTACCTTATGAAACTGCTTTTAAGTTCTCAGTATGTATCATTTATGATGATGATATTTATTCCTGCATAATCCATGGACATCTACATGTGAACCCTTGCTTTTTATATTGTTTCTTCCAATAATAAGCCCATACTCCTAAATAAGTTGAACAATCAATATTTCAGGCAAATCAATTCTCATTCAATAGACATTCAGCATTTATTATCTTCACAATATCAATCATAACTGTCATTGCATAAAATGATTATTGGAACTAATACCTCTTTATGCAACCAGTTAGACCCCACAACTCCGCATCCCCAACCACAAAAATCCAATTTGATCATGTTGTAGAATGAATCCCGCAGCAATCATTATTTCCAACAAAATTGAATTTCATTCAAACAAAATGCAGGCACTTCATTTTAAATTTGTTCCATATGTATATTGGACAGTTTGCCTTTACTATATCCCCATTAACTACACATAATCTAATCAACCTCGAAAATTTGTCCGTCCTTATCCGTTTTCCGTATTTCTTTGACCATCCCAATGGAAGACTGCAAAATCATGATATCTTTTCTGGCACTGCACATTGTGGCTCATTTCTCCAGTTGCATATAAACTAACTACCTAGTGAGAGTGTGGACTGCTGGAATACCTGTTTCCAATGCCCCAAAACCATTGTCTAATCAAAGGCTACACCAGTCCCCTCCTGTACTAAATGTTGGTCAAAGAAAAACGCACCGAAATGTGTAGTTAAAATTGACAAAATGAAAAGGGGGGAGGAACTTTCGGTGGTGCAAAAAACAGCCAAAGAAATGGGAGGCTGCTTTGTTGACAAAGAAGGTGGGCAAACCCCACCACTGATAAAATATTAATGCATAGTATTTTTCTAAACACTATAAATAGGCCCCAAACTCTTAAAAAAAAACTCATCCCAGAAACAACTCATCTTATAGAAGAGTAAGAGAGAGAAAAGAAAGGCTTAAAGAAAAGGTCTTGTGAGAGAAAATTGTGAGCAATTTTCAGAGTTGGGATTGGGTTGTGAGTATTTGTGTGAGTGTTTGTAAATTTTCTCCCATTAGTGAAAGATCTGCAGACTGCAGCAGCCTGTGGATGTAGCTAGTTTTGCGCCGAACCACATAAATCTTGCGTGTCCTCTTATTTGCGAATTTATTTTTCTTTCTCGTAAATCTAGTTATAAGGGAATTTGCGTAGTTTCTCAATAACTGGTATCAGAGCTCTAATTGTGAAATCTGTCAATTTTTTGTGAGATTACTATTCACGTGAATAGTAAATTTCGTGAATAGTAAAATTTTACCGACGGTACCGACTTGTCAGTAGAGCTATCTTAATACACGGTGGTTCATAAAAATTATCAGAAACGATTCGGAGGAAGTCAGATTCGAGTGGGAGCGATGGCTGCAGACGAAGGGAATGTAAAAATTAAGAAGTTTGATGGTGCAGACTTCGATTTTTGGAAGATGCAAATCGAAGATTATGTGTACCAGAAGAACCTGTATCAACCTCTGTCAGAAAATAAACCAGATGACATGAAGGATGAAGAGTGGGCTCTTCTCGACAGACAAGCCATTGGAGTTATCTGATTGACGTTATCCCGTAACATTGCTTTCAACATAGCAAAGGAAAAGATCACGACGGGTCTTATGGAGGCTCTTTGCAACATGTATGAGAAGCCCTCTGTCTCAAACAAAGTTTACTTGATGAGACGACTGCTGAATTTGCAAATGATGGAAGGCGCATCGATAGCTTAACATCTTAATGAACTCAACACAGTCACAACCTAGTTGAGTTCAGTTAGGATTGAATTTGATGAAGAAGTACGAGCATTGATACTTTTGTCTTCTCTTTCAGAAAGCTAGAATGCTACTGTCACGGCTGTAAGTAGCTCGTCAGGAAGCAATAAGTTGAAATTTGATGATGTTCGTGATCTGGTTCTCAATGAAGAAATTCGACGGAGAGAATCGGATGAAGCTTCAACTTCCTCAGCTTTACACACAGAGTCTAGGGAAGAACTTCAGAAAGAAGTTCAAGTCACGGCAGATCAAAATCTAGATCGGGAAAGAAAGATTTTAAGTGCTACAATTGTGGCAAGAAGGGTCATTTTAAGAGGGAGTGTTGGGCACAGAAAAAAACACAGACGCACAGGAGTCTGCCAACGTGACCGAGAAAGGAGGTGATGTTATGATTCTAAACGTCAACAGTCCGATTGAATCATGAATTCTTGATTCAGGGCATCCTTCTATGCCACCCCATGTTGAGAAATCATGGAGAACTACGTCAGTGGTGATTTCAGGAAGGTACATCTAGCAGATGATAAAATCTTGAAGATCGTTGGCAATGGAGACATCCGATTAAAATTACCAAATCAGACCACATGGAAGCTGTAAGGCGTGAGACATATTCCTGGCCTTAAAAGGAATTTGATCTCTGGGGGACAGCTTGATAGAGAGGGTTACTATACAACCTTCTCAGGTCATGAATGAAAGATTACCAGAGGAGCACTCGTCATTGCTCGAGGTAAGAAAAATGATACTCTCTATGTAACCTCAAACTTAGAGAATATTATTGTAGCAACAGATGCAGATGAAAAATCAAAACTATGACACCAAAGACTTGGCCATATGAGCGAGAAAGGGATGAAAACACTTCTGTCAAAAGGGATGCTGTCGGATCTAAAGAATATAGATGTTGACATATGCGATAATTGCATCTTTGGCAAACAGAAGAAAGTCAGTTTTGTAAAGATTGACAAAATACCCAAGGTAGAAAAATTAGAATTAATTCATAGCGACGTATGGGGGTTATCTCCAGTTTCATCTCTTACAGGCTCACTGTACTATGTCACCTTCATTGATGATTCTACAAGGAAGGTGTGGGTCTATTTTCTGAAGAAGAAAACAGAAATCTTTGATACCTTTAAAAAATAGAAGGCTATGGTGGAAAATAAAATTGGTTTGAAGATAAAGCGGTTGAGGTCAGACAATGGAGAGAAGAATACAAAGACAGTAAATTCAAAAAATTTTGCGCAAACAAAGGGATCAAGATGGAGAAAACAGTTCCCATGACACCGCAGTAGAATGGTGTAGCAGAGCGCATGAACAAAACTTTGAATGAACGTGCTAGAAGCATGAGAATACATGTCGGCTTGCCCAAGTTCCTATAGGCTGAAGCTATCAATACCGCAGCCTACCTAATCAACCGCGAGCCCTCAGTTCCCTTGGATGATGGAATACCAGAAGCAGCTCAAAGCAGAAAAGAGGTAAACCTTTTGTATTTAAGAATTTTTGATTGTATCTCTTATATACACATAGATTCTGCTAAAAAAAAACTAAACTTGATGCCAAATCTAACAAATGTCTTTTTGTTGGTTATGGTAGCGATGAGTTTGGTTATCGATTTTTGAACTATGAAAATCAGAAGATCATCAGAAGCAGATATGTCATATTCAATGAGAATGTGATGTACAAAAACAGATCAACTGCAGAATCAAATAGCTCCAGTACAAAAGCTAAAACAAAGGAAATTGCTAAATTTAAGGAGATTTCTGAAAATGATATTCAGACTAGTCCTAAAACAGTTTAAGAAGAACCAAACACGCCAGAAGTGAGACGTTCCTCTAGAATTCCTAAGCTAACTCAGCGTTATTCGTCCTCTTTGCACTACTTGTTGACTGACAATGGTGAATCAGAGTGTTATGATAAAGCAATGCAGGTGGAGGACTCAGTTAAGTGGGAGTCTGCTATGCAAGATGAGATGGACTCGCTTATGTCAAATCAGACGTGAGACTTAGCTGAATTACCACAAGGTAAGAAAGCTCTTCATAACAAGTGGATTTACAGGATCAAAGAAGAGCATGATGGAAACAAGCGCTGCAAGGCAAGATTGGTTGTCAAAGGTTTTTAGCAAAAAAAAGGTATTGATTACAATAAAATTTTCTCTCCGATCGTGAAACTGACTACAATCAGACTGGTGTTAAAAATTATAATTGCTGAGAATTTACATCTTGAGCAATTAGGTGTAAAAACAGCTTTCCTTCATGATGATTTGGAAAAAGAGATCTATGTGAAGCAATCAGAAGGCTTCATAAAAGCAGGCAAAGAAAATCTAATATGTCGTTTGAAGAAGAGCTTGTATGGATTAAAACAAGTTTCTAGACAGTGATACAAGAAGTTTGATAACTTTATGGGCAGCAACAGTTTCACTAGATGCTAAGCAGATCATTGTTACTATCTCAAGAGGTTTGGCAATAGCTTTATTATTTTATTATTATACGTTGATGACATGCTCGTTACAGATTCAAATCTGCAAGAGATTATAAATTTGAAGCAAAAATTATCAAAGCAGTTCGTAATGAACGATCTTAGCGTCACAAAGAAGAATGTTAGAATGAGGATCAAGAGAGACACAAAGTCTGGGACTTTGATGTTATCACAGGCTGAGTACATCAACAAAGTACTCTCCAGGTTCAATATGCAAGATGCTAAACCAGTGGGTACACCTTTAGGTGTTTATTTCAGACTTTTTAAAGACTTTCTAAAGAGCAGTCACCGAAGACAGAGAAAGAGCATGCACACATGACGAAGGTCATGTATGCCTCAGCAATTGTAAGTCTGATGTATGTCATGATTTGTACAAGATCAGATATTACTCAAGCAGTGGGAGCTGTTAGCAGGTACATGAATGATCCGGGCAAGGTACACTGGGAAGCAGTCAAATGGATCCTCAGATATTTACGTGGCACCACAGGTAAAGCACTTTGTTTCAAAGGTGAAGATACAATACTAACAAGTTATATAGATGCTGATTTAGTAGGAAATGTTGATATCAAAAAGAGCACTACAGGGTATGTCTATACTCTAGGAGGTACTGCAGTGAGTTGGGTTTCTCAACTGTAAAAGATAATTGCTCTCTCCACAACTGAAGCATAATATGTCATTGTTACAGAAGCCAGCAAGGAAATGGTTTGGCTTCAAAGTTTCTTCGATGAGTTAGGTAAAAAACAAGAAGACAATGTCTTATATTGCGACGGTTAAAGTGTTATTCATCTAACAAAGAATCCGTCTTTTTATTCTAGAACGAAGCACATACAAATACGATATCATTTTATCCGGTCACTTCTAGAAGATGGAATTTTGAAGCTTGAAAAGATTAGTGAAGCTCAAAATCCAGCAGACATGCTAACAAAGACGGTGACTGCTAACAAACTGAAGCTGTGTTCAGCTTCAGTTAGCCTGTAATAGTATCAAGACAGGCGAATAGCTGCTGCATAGATCGAGATGTGAAGACAGATTAAAATTAGTCTTCAAATGGGAGATTGTTGGTCAAAGAAAAACGCACCGAAATGTGCAGCTAAAATTGAAAAAATTAAAAGAGGAAACTTTCGGTGGAGCAAAAAACAGCCAAAGAAATAGGAGGCTACTATGTTGACAAAGAAGGTGGGCGGGCCCCACTGCGGGTCCCATCGTGGATAAAATATTAGTACATAGTATTTTCCCAAACACTATATATAGGTCCCAAACTCTTAAGGAAAAACTCATCACTAAAACAACTCCTCTTATAGAAGAGTAAGAGAGAAAAGAATGGCTTAAAGAAAAGGCATTGTGAGAGAAAATTGTGAGTAATTTTCAGAGTTAGGATTGGGTTGTGAGTATTTGTGAGTGTTTGAAAATTTTCTCCCATTAGTGAAAGATCTGTAGCAGCCCGTGGACGTAGGCAATTTTGTGCCGAACCACGTAAATCTTGCGTGTCCTCTTATTTGCACATTTATTTCGCTTTCTCGTAAATCTGATTATAAGAGAATTTGCGTAGTTTCCCAACACTAAAGTCACTGGTCATCGTCACTCCATGTTTTTACCAACTCCTGCACCTCAGACAACAGACCAAGAAATTATAAAGTTTTACTACACATCAGGTCCAACATATATATCAAACTGCTATCAACCCCTACTCCTATAGAAAGAACCTTAAGGACACATCCTGCACCATTTTTTTCTGAAGCCAGTACTGTGCTTGGGAAAAAAAACTAATGAAAATTGTGCTATATCTTGATCCGCCATGGAGCACACTGCTATAACCTCCTGGACCTAAAAAAAGAAGCACCTTCTGGACACCACCTGCAGTAAGATTGAAGCCTTAAAACCCCGATCACCAAGTTTCTGGATGGGTTACTCCTTTTCCAACTGCAGAAATCTGTATTTACCTTATGCTATGCTCCAAACCTATGACCCAAAAATGTACATATTTTGGAGGTTAACAAACTTGCTTTTGAGGAAGAAGAGAACAAGAGGTACAAAAAGGTCTATTGATGATAATGCAGCTCTCCAAAGTTATTGGAAAATAGGGACAGTGAACAATAAATAAAAGAAATTTGGGGCAAGGGATTTGTTAGTGTGGATGGCTGAAGAAACTTGATCTACGGAATGTTTCAGGACAGATGGAAATGAAATGATTTTCCATTGATGTCACCACTGAAGTAATGGAATTCCATTTAACACTTGGTCCATGGTGGAAATCCTATCGGTGTCCAAGTGAACTTCCTCTCCCATAATAGCCTCCCAATCTCAAAAGCTTATGCATAGCATTTTGTTAATTGCAATTTGATTGAGACAGGGCTATCATATGTAGGCCTTTTTGAAGGTTTCCGAAATATTACAAGAGAAAAACATGTGATATGGGTATTTGTACATATGTGGTCATGGTATATGGGATTCAGTTAGATAGTGAGAGAGAACACTTTCTACAAAAATATTGGCTCTTCAAGGTATAAGTGGAACCTAGTGTGACAAACTAAGGTTCAACGTAAGCAAAGCTCCATCAAGATGTAAATGTGCTTCACAATTATTTGGTTGAGAGCATACCAAAGGTATCCCATCTAGTTGCATTTGATATAACTGTTTTGGAGTAAAACTCCCTCCCATCTGCAAGCTTAACTCCAACCTGCAAATACCAGAAATTTGTGAAATTAATTAGATGAAAGTCATACTCCCAGTTGCAAATCGATATCTACCACTGGGAGCAACCGTTTGATCTTCCAGCCATACAAGGCATTACTCACAGCTTTTCCACTCTCAAGTATGATATTTTTCACGTTTGCTTTGTATAGTATTTTACTGCCCTTATCTACAAGGCCTTTGGCTAAAGACTTCGCAATTTCACCAACACCACCAACTGGATAATTGATCCCTCCAAAATGTCTATCACATAAAACCTATCATGCGAATATAGCTGGTCAGTGAAGATGAACAATTAATAGTGAGTTCATCAACTTGCGAAGTAATAGGTTACCATGCTTGCGTTGATCATTGGTGTTTGTAGAGCGTTAACTGTACTCACAATGAAACACTGCAGAAAGAGAAATCATTAGATCCATTGTTCATTAGTCAACAGGCAAAGAGCTAAAAAACACATCTATTTGCAGATCCAAGAACTGTTACATCAAACCTTAGATGTGAATTAAATACTAACTGACAAATTATTACCTCAGCATCTATGAAAGACAACAACTGAGGGTCTTTTATAAACTTTCGAGCAATATCCCCAGCATTCTGTGGCAGATAATAAGCTGCAAAATGGAAATATTGTCACAAATAGAAAGTTATATTTTAGACAGCTCTTGGAAATATTTTGTAGGTTAACAAACTTGCATTTGATAATTATATTTTTTGAATGTTATAAAAAATATTTATTATTTATCATATGTTAGTATATAAAATTCACTAAAGTAGAAAATGTACTAAGAAAATACCAACAAGAATGCAATTGAACATTCAATAACTAGTTAACTACTTAAAATTTTAATCCAAACGTCAAAATTAACTAGAAACTCAAATAAAAGTCATTAAATTAAACATTCAAACTAAAACCAAATCATCTAATCTTCTTCATCATCCTCATGATGAGTGCAGAAAGAGAGTGTGTGTTGTGGAATTTGGGAAAAGACAATGGGTTTGGGTAAATGGGTTCAACCACAATCAAGTAAAAAGAGTGCCTGCATAAACAAATCATGCACTTACTTAAAAATCGGCCAATTGAATGCATAACTCGTATTCTGCTCGTTTGTATTCTGCTTCCCCTTAAGCAGGCACTTGGAACATTGGCTCTTGAACTTCTGTCACATAGTTTTAGAAATAATACTATCCTACTGAACTAGTTTACATATATTAATAAAGGAAAACTTGATAGTTGATATCATTTAGCACCTCTATTCCTTATGCTAATTTCAGAAATGCATTCAATTTGATTGTTCTTCTTATTGATACTTCAGAATTGGATGTAAAAGCATAAAGAAATGTTCAGAATTTTTGAACCCTCCCCTTCTTCTATATATTTTATAGCCCAGGAGAAATTTGGTGCAGCTCCTTGGTTCTAAAAAAATAAACTACAAGATAACTTTTTGACTTGTCCTTTGTCTCCTTGACCAAGAATCTTGAACCATTATGAAGGGTTGACATCAAGTTACAATATTGCGATACAACTATATATAATAGACCCTATTTCTGGTTGAAAACAGACTTAGATGAATATCAGAATGCATGAAAAAAGATGAGTACAGGAATTTATTCATATAGTAATGCCACTTCCATGATTACCAAGAGTCAGGCATTCCAATGGCTTCTTAAAGAACTGCCCAAATAGGTATATTGGCTCCTCCAGTGACTTCAGCTCCAATGAATTCAAAGCGTTGAAGATCTGGTGATGGAAGTTTATACATTTTCATATAATTGTAATAAAAAATTTAGGATGTGAAACTATTAATTAACAAAGCTAATAAGATACCTTCCAACACTCACTGTAAAATTTGTTGATCCCATCTTTCTCATGAGGGAACTTGTCAATAAGTTCTGTAATGAACTCATTGTAGTCCCTATGAACACGAACAGAGAGACCTCCTGGAAGGTGGAAGTGGACAGTTGTAGGATCAGGTACCACCTCCATCCTACACCCAACTGCTGCTAATGCTTGGGTAATTAAGTTTAAGTTACCCTGCCATTGTAGAACCATAATATTAAAATAATTATTGACTGCGTAGGAAAATCTTCTTATTAAGAATAAATAAAATAAACCAAAAATAAACGGAGAGTGTCAAAATGATTAATTCATGGAATAGGGGGGGAATGCTTAAAATCTTTGGAAGGAAATATAAACTCTTGGAACACGAGGAACAATGCAGTGTGCTTCACATCATGCATATAAGAGCACTATAATTTATCACTGCATGCATTTTCAACTTGCATTTGGGTTATCCTACACTCTTGCTTACCAATATAGTCAAGCATCAATCTTCTTTCCGCAACTTCAAGCAAATTATCCTTGAATATATAATACATTCCTAATTTGATCCTGCTTGTTGAGACAACAAACTTAATTTGGATATATTCCTTTTTTTCTTTTTTTTTTCTTTGAGAAACATAGGATTTTCTAAACATGTAAAACAAGTACACCTCTTCGAATTAAGGATACTGCTACAGGTATGTACTTCTCTATGCAGATTTATTTTCAGCGTCATCAATGTGCGATGCGAAGGGTAAAGTCCCTTCATGCGCACTTGTGCAGAGCACAATGGGATGCGCGCGCCTGAATGAAGCAAGGCACACATCAAACACATAATTTTTCAAGATAATAATCAAGCATGAAAGAACATGTTTATGAATTTTCGCATACACAATATGTCAACACAAATAATATTTACCACCAAACAACAAAATAAGGTCTTAACTCATAATGCTAACACACCCAACAAAGAAGTTTAAATTTTCCAAATCAAAAGTCAAATCAAGACTAGTATCAAAGCAAAATCAAATAGTAAATGAGAACAAGCTAGGGTCCTCAAACAGGGTAGTAAAATGACCTAATGGGTTTATTTTTCCTTTTGGGATATGGATTATCAAGTATAAAGATGAGATTGAAATGTTAGAAAAGTACATGACGTTACGCCTCGCATGCGTCCCGCACGAAACGCCTTCATGTAGGGCACTTGAGAGGTGCAAAAGGCACTATCGCATTAGATGTAGGGCACTTCGCCACTACCCCACATTGTAGGGCACGTGAGGCGCAATGAGGCTTGTTCCTTTGATAACGCTTTTATTTTAAAGCTTCTCATGGGTCAAGTGGATTGGAAATATTGTTATCATTAAGACAAACTTCTTCTCAACAGCTTTTCCCATTAGTATCCTAATCCCTTAGAACTCACCGTTATTCTAAGCTCCCTCTATCTTCGTTAGGGTAAGCAGGGGAAAGACAAGTAGGGATTTCTCGTCCATCATACCTCATACAGTGTGATTATCCTCCAGTCATTACGAAGAGGTCAAGGATTATAGGGTGAAACAAAAAAGATCGGATCTGAATCTCAAGAATAGACCTTCCAAGTTATTTAGTATAACTAGAAAGAACGCCTAGGACTTTGTGCTTCTGAATTCTAATGTATGATGCACTATTGTTTTGGTCCATTACTGTTTAGTCCCACGAGCATAAACTACTCTTGTCTATATGTTGGATAACAACTAATAAATTTAATTTTAATAAACTTAATTTCTAGAATTAATTTTATCTGTTTCTATTAGATAGCATTTATATTTGTGGACATACCTTTTGGCAACATCTGATTGTGATATCTTCTCAACCCTACTGATTGGAGGTTGTTTGGTGTATTCAAGAGATCAAAATGAGATGAAAATGGTTGCAAGAAAAAGAAAAAAAGGATTCATGGTTTCACTGTTAGTTTCTATTCTTATTCGACCGAGTCAGATGACAATGTGTGCTTGCCGACCTCCACAATTCAAGAAAATTACCTATATTAAGCTAAAATCTTCCACAATCAACCATCAACTAGCTACAGAATCATGGCCTACTTCCTAAATTCAACACGTAGAAACGAAACACAAGAAATCACAAGAAAAGGGCAGACCTTATCACTGAACCCGAACATCACCGAAGATCCAACATCAAAAGTATACCCATCTCTCTCATAAAACCCCGAGCTCCCGCCAGGAATCAAGTACTTCTCAAGGACTAAAACCCTAGCTCCCTTCACTGCAAGCTGAGTCGCCGCCACCAATCCGCCCATCCCCGATCCAATCACAATTGCGTCGTACTCCTCCCCTCCCCCTTTCCCCTCACCCTGATCCCCCTCCACTGCTCTCTCCGAGCTCAGCACCGCCCTAGGACTCCCAAACCCTAATCGCACGCCTCCCCTCTTTCTTGTGGAACATTTGGATTTTGAAGGGAGGAGAACCGGGATTGGGGGCTGGGGATCTAGGGTTTTGGAGGAGACGAAGGAGAGGGGGAGAGAAAACCCTAATTTGAGCATAATCGGGGATTAAAGAAGAGGTTATTTTCGTTGATTTTTGCGGGGATTTTTAGGGTTTATTTAAGGAAGGGATGAAGAGGGGGGCATTTTGGGGGAGATAGCGGGCAAGGATTCGGAGAGAGAGAGAGACAAAAGTTAATGAAGCAGGACAGGACTCAGTGGGCAGGTTTCGCGCGTTTTCTATCCGTTGCTCAAACAAAGGCTTTGTTTTTTGTATGTCGGAATCTTTCAGCCGCCCCACGCCACGATCCTATATAGGTTATTCTTTTGGAGAATTTTTTTATTTAAAAAAACCGTTTTTAAAATATAATTAGCAAAATCAACATTTTTTTCTAAATAATGAGCAAAATTACCCTTTTTTTGCCACGACATCAAAGCTGGCCAAAAAAGTGTCGATTTTGAGAAAAAAAAATTCATCTTCAAAATATATGGGACTACCAATCCCGTGTAATTAGCAATTACTAATTATGAAAGTGATTAATCTCAAAATATACACGGGACTATTAGTCCCGTGTATTCATTTAACGGCCTCATTTTTTTTTATCTCAGTCACCATTGTCCAACCCCTCTTCCAGATCCCCTCCCTCCTCTTCTTAATCTCCTCCAGGGCGGTGGTCGAGGGCGAGCACGATGGTCAAAGGGCGGTGGTTGAAGGCGGCCCCGAGGGCGGTGGTTGATGTTAGGAATTTAACGCCTAAACCCCTAATGCAACGGAAACGCGGTATAGAAAAAGTACACCAAGATTAAGACATTTAACGAGTCGGCAACTCCTACGGTCCTCGGAAGCCAACACAGATAGATTTCTTTATTAAATTAAACAAGAAATTACAATTTAGGAGCGTATCTCAAACTGATAAAACAAGAAAAAGATTTCTGCAGATAAACCACTCGGTAGCTACAGTGTTAATAATCAAAGGGTATGAACCCTTTCAATTCCGAGACTGAGAACAAAATACCTCACAATATAAAAACCCGCTATTAATTCGCCTGCTCTCTCTTCTTAAATCCCCGTCACGGCTGCATCCTGTTGAGACGCTGATACTAATCACAAATCGCAACGACGATTTAGGGCCAACCGCCAGCCAGAGGGAAATTCGGGTCGGGGGATCAGCCGAAACATATTAGGAAGGGATTTCCTTTTATAGCGGATGAGGAGGAGGAGCCTGGCGACAGCCTGTCGCCAGCGAGCCTTTACGACCCAAAAAACTCGTGCGAACACGCCAGAGATTCACTATCGACGCCGGACGAACCTTCGCACGCGAGAACGCAGAGTTCAGGAAGCCCCCCCGCCCCCAAAACGCAGAAGCTCGCCATCGACGGCATCGGCAGCCCAGGCGCCATCTTCGAACGACGCAGAGCTCGCCATCGAGGCTGTGACGGCAGAGTTCGCCACTCGGCTCGACGGGACGCAGAGCTGGGGCTTTCGAGCTCGTCACTGCTCGCCTGCGTGCCCGTGGTCGTCGACACCTCGGCCTGGGCTAACTCGGAGCCTCGCACGTCCAGCAGCACCACCATCGAAGCTCGTCGGAGCTCCGCGGAGCCTCACGTGCTTCGCCGCGGAGGTATTGTTTCCACGCCCTAAATTCCTAACAATCGTCCCACTTGGAGCACAAACCGACGCCCACAGAGCTATCTCATCAACTCCTGCTCGCATGTGTGGCTCCAGCCCTCAGACATCTATGCATGAAGGCCCAACTGAAGTTTGGCAGCGCAACTCGCAGTTTCTGAAGGTTCGCTACCGGTTGTCATACAATATCCGCTGGATCCTTTCTTCGCTTGGCATATTCTGTGAAAATCCTTTAACAACTCGTCCGCGGGGGAACCCTACCCACGGCTCTGACTTCTGGAACCACCCTGTTCGCTCTTCACTCGATAAACACACACATTGTTGTGGACGTAGCCATTTTTCCCGGCATGGGGCAACTCAGCTAGTCCCGCATGGTCTGGTTGGAGAATCGAGAGATTTCTATCTCTGCCTTTCGGCAGACAGAAACCACTTGCTCGCCATCTCCACTCTGACAAGCTTCATCAAAGCTTTCAAGACTCTCCGTCGCCATGTTGTCAGCAACGATATGATTAATGTATCTGGCTGTTCAGGCCACAGAGGACGAGTACTTCCTCCTAACATGCGAGCTGGTGTAGGCACCAATTCTGTCCCAACAGTCTCTTCTGGCTGAGATTCTTGCATTGGTTCTTGTCTTCCGAGAGGTTATCCGACCATCAATCTGCATCTACAAATGTTGGAGCTCGCTCTCTGAGTCACCGTATCTGGTTTGTGCATGTCGGCTTAAATAACATCCACCTTCTCGTTGAATGTCACACTCTCTGGCACGCTGGATCAACCTTCTTGTTTTCCGTTGTCGCCAAATGCGGGGTAACCCGACTCGTTCTTCACCAATACCGCCGATGCAATAGTGCATGTTCTTGACTTGGGATCCAAGGCTCAATTCCTGCCCTCTGATCACCTTATAAAGCACATAACTACACAAACCGAACAACTTTGAAGATGTGAGAGGGTTACCTCCTTTCCGCCACCATACCTACCTCTGTTATTTGTGGCTCCAATGGAACAGATGGAGCCCTCGTTGATCAGTAAGCTCCTGTGTTGACTGCTTCTGCCTCAGAACTTCGGTAGACCCTGACTGCATCCCGAATGCTTCTGCTCTGTCTGTCAACCGTTCTATTTATGTGCGCTCAGGCGCAACACGATTGTGGCTGAGGCCGTGCCGGGGCACAGGTCCCTGCCCTTCTTGAACCGTGCTCAATAGCAGAACTTTGAAATCTGGTGTCATTCATACTCACTGCCCACCATATGTCTGTTCTGAGTTTCATTTTACCCTGACAACGGTTCATTCTCGATCCAATGATTTCCAATCTTGCTGAAGGCCTCAAACACTTCTGAACTTTTTCTTCAGAAAGTAGACCATAGCTTTCCGAGAGTGATCATTCATAAAGTCACGAACGTACTGTTTTCCGACCAATCGACGCGGTGGTTGCTTGGTCGCCAGAACATCTGAGTGGAACTAAGCTCTAGGCTTCTGCTTCCTGGGGGGTCTGCTACTGGCCTGAAAGCTAAACTCTGCCATCTGCTTTCCAAGTAAATGCATTCTTCACACACATCAATCTCTACTGATTGTAAGCCTGGGAGTTTTCTCTTTGTGTCATAAGCCTCAATCCCCTTTTCCACCAGTATGACGCGAGTCTCTGGTG